GCAAAAAGTCACATTAACAGGACAAAAGAGTTCATGAGGATTTTGAGAGAATGAGTTTTGAGGTGGAGAGATAGAAAGTCAGAGAGAGACTGTTCTGTCAAAAGTTGTTATGAAAAGTGTAGAAAATCTGATGTTGAAACTAGATATTAATTTGTGCAAGTATCGATACAAAAAAATAACATTAACAGGGCAAAATTTGAGCTTTCTTGAACAGTTTTAGTTTGATTTTGAGCTTTATCAGAACAAATATGAGACTTCATGATGATGATGAGAGGATGAGAGAGAGACTGTTCTGTTCAGGGGTTGTGAAAAGTGTAGAAAATCAGATATATTATAACTAATATCGAAACTAGATTTGAGCAAGTATCGATACTGCCAAAAGTCACATTATCAGGACAGTTTTGAGTTTTGAGGTGGTGAGACATAAAGACAGAGAGACGTCTGTCAAAAGTGTTGTGAAAACTTATTTAACTTTGAAAACTGGATAAGTTTTAATCATCCTAAATTATTTTTTTAAAGTGTCTTTAACTCGGATACACCACTGAATTCAGAATTTGCCATAAAATGTACACACAGAGCTACTACAACTACAGATGTGAGAGGAATGTTCTGTCAAAATTTGTTGTGGAAAGTGCAGAAAATCAGATGCTTAAGCTGAAACTTAAACTAGATATTAATTTGAGCTGCAAAAAGTCACATTAACAGGACAGTTTTGAGTTTTGAGGAGGGGAGAGATAAAGACAGAGACTTCTGTCAAAACTGTTGTGAAAACCAATTTAACTTTGAAATTTTGATCAGTGTCTTAACTCTGATACGCCACTGAATTCAGAATTTATCATAAAATGTACACACAGAGCTACTACAAGTATGCACATGAGAGCCTTTTCTGTCAAAATTTGTTGTGTAAAAAGTGAAGAAAATCAGATGCTAAAACTCATATTGAAACTAGATATTCATTTGAGCAAGTATCGATACAGAAAATAACATTAAAAGGACAAAATTTGAGCTTTTCTGAACAGTTTTAGTTTGATTTTGAGCTGTCAGACCTCATGATGATGATGAGAGGATGAGTTTTGAGGAGGTGAGACATAAAAACAGAGAGAGACGTCTGTCAAAAGTTTTCTGAAAACCTATTTAACTTAGAAAATGTTATTTGCCATAAAATGTACACACAGAGCTACTACAAGAGGTGCTACTAGTCGTCCCAAAGTACAGGAAAACTCTTGGTCCGTCCTCATTCTCTCCCAAAGGGACTAAACTGTGGAACTGCAACTAGTTGATTTAAAATTTAAAACCAATACCAAATATATAAACGTAAATTAAAACTCTTTTATGTTTTCTTTATATCTGCATTTTTGTGCTAAAACACTTAATGCATTTTGGTTTGTCTAATGCCATGTGATGTCCTTAATAAATATATAATTATATAAATTAATTATATAAATAATATAAAATTTGAGCTTTCCTAAACAGTTTTAGTGCAATTTTGAGCTTTATCAGAACAAATTTAAGATCTCATGATGATGATGAAAGGATGAGTTTTGAGGTGGTGAGAGAGAAAAACCGAGAGAGACCGTTCTGTCTGCGGCTGTGAAAAATATCGAAAGCAGATGCTAAAACAGATATCGATACTGCTAAAAAGTCACAGTAACAGGACAACATGAGCTTTCCTGAACAGTTTTTGTCCGATTTTGAGCTTTATTAAAACAAATATAAGACCTCATGCGAAAAAAATAAAGTAATATTATTTTGTATATGAAAATTACTATTTCTATTACAACATTTTAGCATTTTTTATCTTCACTGTGGTATCGTAATCAGTATCGAGTGTGAAATTTTAGTTTCTTGACTCTAGTTCAGTCAGATTGGTTCATATCCTCAAAATTAAGTCATTTCCATTCAGTCTTCAAAGGATTTTTCTTATTATCATTTTAGCATTAAAACTTGTAGGGAAATACCGATCCAGCTTTTTCAGTTTTGACATCGATACCCAGTAGCAGAGACTGAAAATAGTATCTAGTTCTTTTAAACAAAAATAAAATAAGACAAAAGTGATCCAATCGTAACTATTATTTATCCGTCAAGTCACTACGGAACAGTTTGAGACTTTCTGGGACAACTACAACCAGTAAATAGTCTTATTATATCGATTTATACGCTCAATCAGGATATCGACTGAACCGATATTTGGGAACCGATAGCCGATCCAGCACTTTTTTTCAGTATCTAAGTTGATATCTGATACCGATACCAATACCAGCATACAGATTTGATATTGTGACATCCTTAGTTTCCCAGTTTTCATTTTCATAAGAGAAGAAACGACACAGAAAAAAAAAAAAACAACAATTATTAATGTGGCAATTGTTTTATATTGAAATAACTTATATATTGGCATCTTACCCTTACGTTTGACATTTGGACATAAGATAATTTTCCTGTAGGCTTCCATGTTTCCATTTATGTGGAAATATTTATACTTTTTAATCCCAACTTCGTCAATGAGCCTTTGTACTGTTTAAATGTGTAGACAATGTAATAAATGAATGAACTGAATTTTAGCTTCATCTTAATCATTTGTGACCAAGATTAAAATGTTTCTCCTTCTCAGTGGCATTAAGAGATACTAAACACATCTTTTCAGTGCAGATGTCTTGTTTAAACTGTGCCTTGATGTGTGATCTTTCTTATTTTTAACTTGTAATTGCTCTTGAAGCTCAGTAAAGATTGTCTAAAGTCTAAATCTAATGCCTTTCTGTCCTGTTCTGTCAATCCTGGGTCAGCTTGTGTATCACTTTAGTCGCCTACTTGCTCCTGTGTGTTCTTCCACCTCCACTAATGCCTTTTCTTTTGTTACAGCGACATCTAGTGGAAAAGAACAGATAAAGCAGAATGTACAAGTCAATACTTCTATTAGAAAATAGAAATTTAAACAAACACACATTAGACGCGTCTCATTTCTCTTTCCTCGCTTCCTTCTCCTTGATTCCCCTCCTCGATTCTGCAGGAAATGGGTGAGGAAGTCCCGCCCACAGAGGAGACAAAGCGAGGAGAGAGGATCTAAACTCCTCACTGAGATCAATAACGTTTGATTCTTTTATCTGATGTTTGCTCCTGAAGACTCCCTCATGTTTACTCCGTCATTCTGTCGATTTCTTTGGGACACCACTGAATAGGACACATTTGATTGACAGCAGAAAAATGGAGGGTCAAGGAGAGGAATCAAGGAGAAGGAAGCGAGGAAAGAGAAACGAGACACTGTTTTATTGATGCAGTGTGGTAATACAGGAAGTTCTCCACTATGTTTTTAAACTTTATACTCTTTGAAATTATGATTACCAAGATGATTTTTGTTTTACATTCACTACTAAATTAGTTGTTTAATAGTTGAATTATTATTTTCAGTAGTTATATGTTTAATTTAAAAAAAGGTGTACTGTACTATAAAGGTGAGGGATCTTGTACCTGCTTGTCTCTATAGAGATATATTGCTTTTCCTGAAATGTTCCACAGTATAGAATTAAATCTGTTTATCTTGCATTTATTCAAGTACTACTACTACTACTATTAATACATCTTTATTTACAAAGCACTTCTAAAAACAAGGTTTACAAAGTGCTGTACAAGCAGGAATTAACAATTTTATTTTTTTATTTCTTATTTTATTCATTTGACCTCCATTAGCTATTGTATGGTGCATGTTTTTTGGGGTTGATGGGGGAAACTGGAGTACCAGTGCAAGACACACACAGAAAGGTCAATGTGAACCAGGGATCGAACCTGGAACCTTCTTGCTGTGAGGCATGAGGCATCTACTCAACCACCGTGCCACCAATACAAAGTTATAAAAATAACATATAGAAAGCAAAAAAAAGAAGGCAATGATGCAAACAATCCAATTAATTATAATAAAATACAAATACACAGAGTTAAAAAATATATATATAAAAAAATACTTAAATACTCACAGTAAGTTTCTATGTTACTTATCCACAGATCTGATCTATAACTTGCCCTGCTTGTCCCATTGGAGATTTAGAACATTAATGCCATAATGTGGATCATTCCAGGCAAAGTAAGAACATCTCCATGGAGACAAAAAAGTGGCCTATCATCCAACAGAAAAGTTACAATGTGCAATTTTAAAATACGATTTCAAAA